GGCGGTAGATCACCGGATGACAGAGTCGGTCCTCCGTGTGCACAGACAGGGCCTGCTGTTAACGTCGGGTCTGTACAACGGAATTGTGCCAAAACTACACCACCCGGCTGCTGAGGGAGACTCCCCCCCCCCCCCCCCCCTTCACTGAGAACTGCGCTCAAAACAGCTGATCACAACGTTCACACTCTGTGGTCACGAAGTAGTCCCCTAGCTGCCCCCCCCCCCCCCCCTCTGTCGACTTTCCTGAAGTACTCCCCCGTTGATAGAAATCAACACGTAATTAATTAAAACCCCACGGTTTGATGATTGATAGGTGTGTGGGTTGTCTTTCATTTTGACACGCAGAAATGTTTTATAATAAACATAGATACTGTATGTTAAATGGCTATATCCGCCTTCTTTCATGTATCTTTCCATTCCCACAACAATATACATAAATAAATGGCATATTTTGGACATAGTTCGAATGGTGATTAATCATGATTAATTAATTTTTAAGCTGTGATTAATCCGATTAAAAATTGTAATCGTTTGACAGCCCTAATATATATATATATATATATATATATATTATTCTGGTTCTAATTTTGTTACTCTTGAAAAAAAAATGCACTAAAAGAAAAGGCTGCTATTGGTTCTTAAAAGGCTGCTATTGTTTCTTAAAAGGCTGCTATGTTTTCTTTATATTGACATTTTATAAATAAATGTATTTTTATTTGTCAAACTTTTATTTGTTACAATTGTTTTCATTTCTTACTTGTGCTGGTCAATTATTAACACTATATAAGCATGAGAGGCCGACAGTGCAGGGAGAGCAGCTGGCATGGGGGTGAAGACATCACAACAGTCTTAATGTTCATTTAAATTGAGAATATTCCTCTAAATCGACGTTAAAAAAGGCAACAACAAAAATCTAAAATGCATCTTCCCCCGAAAGTCTCACTCCTACTTTTTACTGAAACTTGGCAGCCCTGTAATTTATACCTGTTTTCCTTGTCTCTGTGTCTCACCTTCTAGTCCCTGGCACATTTGGCTGCAGTTGGGGCATAACAGTGTATAAAGACACCATAAACGTTTAGTGACATAACTCGATGAGTATGTAAGCTACCTTTGCACAATTGGTATTGCTGGATTCAGTAGAACACAACCTTTCAACAAGCCATTGTGTGTGTTGCTATGGCAATCCATGGTCAGGGTCACTACAAAGTAAAGAGATCATTCTACATAGTGTGGTGACACGTTATTGGACATAATTCACCTCTCGTATTGTGTTGCCACACGGACCCTTTAGTGGGAACACCTGTAGTGTTAGCTTCCATTCCTGCTCGTGAAGCAGAGCAGTTCATGCGATAACCTCTGTTATTAATGGCTAATAAAGATTGGAACTCGGTTCTTAATACACCGCCTCCGACTCCCTTTTCCTGGCACTACAATAGATACATTTCCGCCTATTGTAGGTATGTGTTCAAATGACTGTATCTCCAATTTACATTAAGATATTGACATTCAGTCTTTTCTATAATGCAGAAAGATGTCCTGACCTCAGGTATGCCAAGTTTTAAACCTATCAGACCTTCCATTGTGAATCTACATGAGTTGTTATGCCTCAACCCCCAGACGGCCAACCTTTATTTTTTAGTGTGGGGTGTCTAACTTTACATTGTATGAGCGGTTCCAGGTTGAATTGAGGCAATATTTTTAATGTTCAGAGGTTGTTGTGTTTAATATTCATGAGAATATTTGTCATTGTTCAAATGATAATAAACATTTGCATAAAGCATATTTGTCCACTCGTATGTTGATAAGAGTATTAAAAACTTGAAAAATATTCCTCTAAGGTACATTTAGAACAGATAAAAAATGTGCGATTAATTTGCGATTAACTATGGACAATCATGCGATTAATCGACTGACAGCCCTAATAATAAGTACCCTGTATCAAGATTGATGCAAAACAAGTGACATTTGACCTTTTTTAGAGAGGTTTAGCAAAAACAATTCCACCTCTGAGATGATTTGGGTGGAAATGGGGGTTTTAACCGTTTCTCTGGAACCCATTGGTCGATTTGTGATTGACATCTCTTTCTGACCGTTAGAGCCAATAGAATCGAAGGGTCAACAACAAGGTGTGGGCTTCGCAGACACAGTTTGCACCAGAGTGAAGCTGTCTCTAGGTCTGACTTCTAGAAAACGGAAACGCAGGTTTATTGCTTATGGATTATCAGAAATCATTTCAAAGGGACACAGACACATTGGATTAACCTATGGATTAACTTCAGCAGCGTTTTATCGTTTTAAATGCAATTGAAGACCACTTTTGACCAGACTACGACACAGGTGAGCCATGTTAGCGTTTTTAGCTACCTAGCGCCATATGTTTTGATGTCTGTTCTTGTTATTATCTCCGCAAGTTCGTATACTTGAGTGATAATGAGGGTAACCCTTCGATTCTGTGTCACCTCACGATGTGAAACGATTGGTTGGATGTGCAGCAAAGATGTTGCGGCAGTGCCCCGGTACCGGGGTCTCTCGGGCTTAACAGGTTAACAGAATGAACCGACCACCTATGGACCCAGCGGATTGTTATTATTTTGACTTGGATCTGTTCGACCTGGATTACTCCCTTCGGTGTCATCATGCTGAGTGGAGTAGAACCTCGTCTAGAAGGGACAAAGAGGCTGTCCGCAAAAAGGCACAAATGGAGGGTCCTTCCTTTTCCGCGATCTTAACAAACAAGCTTCTTTAATTTAGCCCTTCACATTCAAACAGAAACTGAATAGGCAGATTCGAAGGGTTTATTTCTTTGGAATTTTATTTTAAATCAAGTTATTTTGGTAAAACTAATGAAAAATATATATTTTTTAAATATATTATTTTGTAGAATATCTTAGGCCCTCAGAGAGGGCCTAGAGGGCCCTGACGGCTCGCCACTGTCACCGACTGATGTGCAGGAGCGTCAGCCGGTCCGGGACTCATGAGGGTCCGAACGGTGAACACCGTGGTTCCCGATGCGATCACAAGGCTACAGATAGCGATGAGCTTGAATAATCAAATATTGATAGCTTGGCTTCTGCTCTAAGAGTAGTAGCCAGTGCAGCGAGATGATGAAAAAGGACTGAACTTGTTGACAACACCGGGACTTATGCCTTCCAGGGTCATGCGAGGTCACACATGACTTTTTTGACATAAATACTCGATCAGCGCATGCGCTAGACAGAAAATATCCAGTGCCAAATACTGCCTCTGACAGTCAGTAAGGATGAAATAGAACTTCTTCCAACTAAACACAACAGCAGATAATGCCCAGGGCCCAGGAGTTCAAAACTTGTAATCCCTATCTGATCAAATCAGATTTGGATTTTGGGGAGTTCAAAACCAAAAAACAGGATTAGGATCACTTTGATATCCGATCAGATCAGCAAATCCAATCCAAGCTTTAATCTGGATCAAATCTTCAAAACGGGTAGTTCAAACCGACAACACAGGATTGGGATGAGTTTGATCCCAAAAAACTGGATTATCCTGATCCCACCAGAGGGGTGGATTTCCAGAGCAAAATATACTGTACCATTTATTTAAAAATATGTTTCAATTTAAATTAGATGGCAAAGTTTCTTAACTGAAATAATACACCATTTTTAGCCTTCATGGGAAATACATTTTATTTTTCCATTTTTTGCTCACGTTTGTGGTGGCCTATTTTGTTTTCAACCAAATGTTGATGACATAAATGTGTATGCTCATAAAAGATTGTCAATCAGAAATGTAATTAAGATTAATTAAAAAATATCTTCAACAAAAAAAAAGTCCATCATCACCTTTCAAAAGTAATTGCGGACAATAGATGTCTGCAATGTGGTCTCTTGTCTTCCTTGTATTAGTTTTCATGTCCACTAGATGGTGATCGGTAGAATTAAAGCACTGATATTCAGGATCTAGTCATCTTGAAAAGTAGTAATCTGGATCAGGGTGATCCTATCCTGAATTGCTTTGAACTCCAGGGACAAAATGTGGCCGACTTGTCTGATCCTGGATCACAAAAAACGACATTTCAAAATCTGATCGGATCTGATTGAGATTAAAAGTTTTGAACTCCTGGGCCCAGGATATCAGGATAAAGACAGAACAGGATGAAAATAAACCAAACGCCCTAAGAAGTTTCCAAACAGGTTGAAACTGTTTAGTCCTCATATCATCTGGGTCAAAGGTGACCTGGTTTGACACCATTATTTGGTATCTGCTTTATCTCCTGCCTCTTTGTTAAGACAGGTACAAAGTTCCAAAAGTGATGAGTGGGTGTTTACTGGCATATTTTATATTGTAGAACTAAACATGAAAATCTCATAAGGTGCGACGTTTGTTCAGGCCATTAACCAGAAGCCCGTGCAAACACATTTTGACGTCAAGACAAAGGAAATGGAAGTGGGAAAATGCTAACTTGTGTTCAAGCTTAAAGACTTCTCAAGCATTGTCCATATTTCCATTTTGCCAGCGAACAGCATGTCAATCAGAAAAGTAGAGAAACTCTCATCTCCCCTTTTCAAAAAGACAGGATGTAGATCCTTCAATATATAAAATGAGCTGAGCTTAAAGGGGCCCTTTTATGCATTTGGGGGGTTTGCCTTTCCTGTGTAGTGTGATATAGGTTTTTGTCCATGTAAATGGTCTGCAAAGGCTAAAATCCAAAAGTTCCCTACAGAGGGAGTTTATCTCGCACACACTCCCCACTGGCCTGACACGCCTCACTTTGATTCGTTTGTTTACTTCATCACAAAGTGACATCACTTGGCAGTTGAATTATCACAACAGAGCTGGCCAGCTAACCAATTAGAGCAGACTGGGTTTTGGTTTCAGACAGAGGGTGAAAATAGGTTTTCAAGCAGTATGAGAAAAATAAAGAGCTCTGAACATTAAAGTAAGTAAACACCTGAAAACTAGTATAATAGGGCCCCTTTAAACCCTTAATAAAACAATTAAAAGCAACATTTTCTAAATAAGACTTACCGGATGATTGTTGGGAACAGTTCTCCAGAGTAGAGATAGCAGCAGTTGAATGAGGCAGCGAGGCAACCTTTACCCAGTACAGCCATACACGTGCGTGCAGTCTGTTTATCTGCACATGGAGTGAGACATTCATCAGAGGACTGTTGTTTCTGCAGTATGATATTCAACTTGTATACATGTTTTCAACCATACCATAAGGTATCAGCAGGTTGATCAAAACAGTGGTTCCAGCGATGATGAGAGCCCCACTTTGTGATGTGCGCCGTCCAAAATAACTCATAGATACGACTATGACGACTTTAGCAGGGATGTCGGCAACTCCGAAGATCACTTGGATCAAGTAGATGTCCACCCCAAACTTCTGCAGATCCATTGCAAGACCGTAGTAAGCAAAGCTCGTGGATAACCTAGGTTTGTTTTTTAAAGAAAGCATTAACAGTGTCAATGTAATTACATATTTGTTAATGAAAAACTGAGATTTTTACAAGAAGGAACATGTACCAGACAGCACTGAGGCAGATCGTCATTCTCCTCATTGTAGGTGTGCGGAACAGATCCAGGACAGAGTGGGTGCCTTGTGAGCAGGACATCTCTTTCTTCATGGTTTCCTGCAGCCTCTATGCATACCGACAAAGATTAATGTATTTTATACACATTAATAACCACAGATAGATGGTACAATAACATAAACACAGCACATTCTCTTACCTTCATGTCGATTTTCTCTCCCTCTTCCTTCCGTCCATTAAATTTCGCCACACTTTTAAGGTTCTTGATGGCTTGTTCATGGTTATTACTCATAACTAACCATCTTGAAGATTCATGAAACCACCTGTGTGAAATATGTGTTCTGTTAATCGTGCAAATAAACATGCATCGGTGATTCTGGTTTGCATGTCAATACTTGGCATCTTACCATGCAATGAGGAAGAAGACAAAGAAAGGCAAAGACACAGCCAGGGTTAACCACCTCCAGTCCCGGATGAAGTACGCGATGAGCGCCAGTATCAACTGTCCAACTGTGTAGCAGTAACCTGTCATTGTCCCCACTATTGTTCGCACACTAGTGGGGATCCACTCCACAACTTGATATTAAAGAAAAAAGAGATAGAGAAAGAAGTATTTTTATTTTATTTAGTACAATTATTATTCTTTAATCATTATGCATGTTGACTGCTTCCATTAAAGTTGTTTTACGCTGATTGTACCCTATCCAGCTAAATGTCTTACTGAGCGAGAAGGTGTTGAGCCCCATGCCGGCCAGAGCCATGCCACAGCCAAAGCGGAACAGGCAGAAGAGCGGGAAGGCAGTGGAGAAAGCAGCACATGTTCCTGACACAGCCATCAGCAGGTGAGAAATAAGCAAGAGGATGCGTCGACCATATCTAGAGCCAAGTGGGTTAAAGACTTAATTCAGACTGTATCACATCATATGATTTTAACAAGGTAGCATGAAAAAAAGACGTGTAGTGTGGGACCATTTTAAAGGGGAAATATGATGCTAATTTTCTGGTTCATTCGTGCATTCTGGTTTTCTAGTAGAACATTTAATTATGCTTAATACCAAAAAAACTCAAATGTTCTCATACTGTATTTCTATAGATATGTGTGTTTTTTCATAAACACACATATCATGTTTTAAAGTTACATAAATGATTAATGTTGCCGCATATCTGACATAGCACAACGTTCCTTTAACTGTAAATCATTAGTGATGAGATCAATGTTACCTGTCTGAAAGACCTCCAAAGACAACAGCACCCAGAAGCACACCTCCCATGTAGACCGTCTGTCCCATTTGCTTCAAAGCCCGCCGATCACACACCAAATTCCACTAAAAAATATGGAACAACATTTAAGGCACAGGACAAGAAAACATATATACATAAGCAAAGAAAAATAAAATATATTCCTACGTCAGATATGATTGTGGATTTCATGTGAGTCATGTTATAGGTCCATCCATCGGAACATCCCTGCAGGTCGACATCCAAACCAGCGTTAGTGTCTCCCTCCTTCCCTGAACTGGAGCTCCCGTTTTTTGTCAGGAGGTGCCACTGTGGAGCCGCGTAACGCAAGCACCTGTCTGGCTTCCCTGTCTGGTCCAGCGGCACCGTGACCAGCAGCGCTTCCTCTGCACTCATCTGGGACTGGGACAGGTTTGTGTGTGCATTGCAGAAGTGAGGGGGAACCAAAGCCACAAAGTTCTGCAGCAGGTTGTGACTGGCCATCAACATCATAGGTATGAGGAGAAGGGTCGTCTGCAGGACCTGGAAGCGTCCTGTGCTCCCTACCTGCTCCAAGAGTTCCCCAAACCCCATAGTGGTGTACTACAAAAACTCCACAAGTTAACTTTATGTTAATGACAGCACATCCTGTTGTTGGTAGGTTCCTTTGGAGCAAACATAAGGGGCAAGAGTAAAATATAATTAAAAAATGTTTGGATAATTTGAATTTCAATAGACTTACCTGCTGAATAATCTTTTCTCATAACATTAACATTTACAAAAAGATTGCTGCGCCAGAGAAAATCATTAAAACCACTTATACGTGATGCAGTCAACTTAAATTAGAATTCTTAGAAAGTGTTCCAAAAAAGGAAGTCCTTAAAAGCGAGCCGAAATAATCAGAAAGAAGTAAAAATGGTCGCTGTTAGTGCAGTCTGTTAAAGTGAGTAATCGGCTCTCAAACTCCAACAGCTTTTCAGCACTTTGGATTATAAGTGCAATGTAACCTCTTGAGGTATTAGCGACTTGTTCACCAAACACTGAGGCAGAATGTGGAGTCCTTGCTGTGCAGGAACAATATCCGGATGAAGAGTTCCAGTGCAAGTCAGCTCAAACCAAGGGTGGGCTCATAACTATGCTCAGCTGTTTTCCCCTTTTGCACTGAGACCTTTTCCCTGCCCTATATTGGTTACGCAACATGAATAACAGGGAGATAGTGTCTGTGTTTGTGGGCATGTGAATGTGAGGTCAAACAAACTGATTTGATCAGTTGCTTTAAAATCTACATTATTTGTTCACTGGTTCAAAGGAAACACCACAGTCAGAAATGTGCAATCAGGCATACAGAAAAGGGAAAACCAAAAGTAAATGTTTGATAAGAATTATAGCTGTGTTTATTTGGAGTCGGTTGACAGTTCAACTGAACTGCAGCCTGATACAAAAAATGTCTTTACTTCTGAGTGCAGTTTGTGATCCAAGCAGCCATCGTTGCAAATATTAAAGGTCAATCAATAGTTGAAAAATCCTCCACTTTAAAACTCGTCATAAATATGAGATATTAAAGTACAGAACTTATTGTCATTTGAAATATATATCATTGCATTTTAAATTGTCTATTAATTTACGTAACTATTCCATCCTGACAAGCAGCAGTTTATTGACTGCTGTATTTTTAAATCTCTTTTTACAACATTTCAAAATGCCTGTTTTTAATATGCTTCCACTGTATTTATTCTTAAATGTCTTTTATTTTATTTTGTAAAGCACTTTGGGTTGCCGTGTGCTGAAAGGTGCTGTATAAATACACTTAATGTTACGGTGTGTGCAGGAAGCAGGACCCAAATGCAGATTTAAATGTCAAAAATATCTCCTTTACTTCAAGGCTATACTAGAAACAAAGATAGAACAGAACACTCACCAAAGACAGAACAGCACACTCACCAAAGACAACAGAACACTCCCACAGTCAAAACACAAGACGAACCAGAACTTAAATACACACAAGACTAATTATACAAACAAGACACAGGTGAGGAGGGAGGAGAAAACACAGGACACCAGGTGCACACAATCGGGTAATAAGACACACCAGGGAAACTAACGACAGGGAACCACAGACAGATCTAAAGACAAAACACAACGCAGACAGAAAACCAAAGACAGATCTAGACAAGACACAACGCAGACAGAAACAGGCAAGACAGGAGGTGAAGACCTTTCAAAATAAAACATGAAACAAAAGACAGAAAAAGACAAGACAAAATACAATAAAGACAGATCTTGACACTTGCCTTGCCTTACAATTTTAAATCGGTTTTAGCCTAAACAGATATTTCTCTTTGGCAGACACAATGGAAATATACTCACTTGTTATTTTCTTAAATTTGTTTAGTGAAAAGTCTGACACATTGCAGTCTTTCTCATAGCACTTATCATAGTTATTTAGCATAGCATTTAAAAGACAAATTATTTCCGTACTTTACCTTGTCTTTTTAGAAGTGGAAAAAACTGCCCATTGATTTTGCCGTTCTGTGTGTGATTGAAAAACAGAATGATCTACCTGATTTCATATTGTTTACTTATTGATTGATATTTTAGCATAAGGCCCAGACAATGAATGACAGACGCAAACCAGTTAAATGTAAATCCTCTTGTCACAAACTTCTTTGTCTGACTTGTTTCAGTAATTGTATCAGACAGTGCCCATTAAAAGTAGCCTGGATAAAGAAGTGTGCAAAGTATTTCAGTTCAACAGAGCAAAGGGAATGAGAAGACTTAAATGTGTAGGTGCTGATTTTATTGAAAATATAGTTTTGTTTTCAAATACAAGATTGCAAGTAATAAGAAGTTATACAAATACCAGTAAAAGCAAAGCACCTGTAGAAGGCACATTTTCTAAAATATAAAAACATGATTTATGCAAATCCAGACTAAAATCCTCCTATAACACAAACACACACAGATCTAATTGTTCACAGCTATTCATTTCACTGTATTGACCTGTCTTATTGCAACTCTACCTGTCTAGCAGACATACAATATAATAAGCTTTATATTGAAATCAAACTAATAAACAGGCCGGAGAAAAAGCAGTAACCAAGATTCCAGGGTTGCCAACTCTCACGCATCTGGCGTGTGACCAGGCCCGGTTCCAGAACAAAATGACTCAGGGTGCATCTGAGATTAGAGAGGGTGCAGTGGTAAAGTGCTATTTTTATAAGTGAGGAGTGGACCTAACACCCTCTAAGGCAGGGGTGGCCAACCAACAGAGGTAAAGAGCCAATAATCTTCCTGTGTTACTGCAAAGAGCCACATCATACAGTACACAGGCACACATGCTGGGTGTATGTCCCCCGACCTCTCTCTCTCTCTCTTTTGCTCTCAGCCTTTCTGTGTGCCCCCTCACTCTCTTCCTCTATGTGCCCCTCTCTATCTCTCACACATACAAAATGAAAATCTAAAAAATGAACAATAATTGACACACACACACACACACACACACACACACACACACACACACACACACACACACACACACACACACACACCACACACACACACACACAGAAAACACATACCTCCGCTCAGCCAGATTTCCTATAAATGTCACAGTCCATGATATTGACAGAAATGGACTTAAACCTCTCCTACCAGTATTAAAGGTGGGGTAGGTAAGTTTGAGAAACCGGCTCGAGATACACTTTTTGTTATATTCCATGGAATGCTCTTAACATCCCGATAGCAATTAATATCTTAAGTGCTTTGACAAAAAATCCATTACAAATGTCATCTGTGGAAGCCGTGGTAGGCCTACTGTAAAAAAGCACGACCAATCATTTTAGCCGGGCCGGCTAAAATAACTGGATGGCCTACCTGCCTGTTAGCCTTCCATCTGTGCACAAACGTAGGCTATCTCGTGCCCTCATTGGTCATGTGCGCGTTCGTGTGTGTTGGAGGAGGGGCTCTGTAAGGAAGTAGCAGATTTTTTCCGGCTGTTATGGAGTCAGATTTGGGTCAATATTCTAGCGCGCAAAACAAGCTACTCACGAGTGGAAAATGTGCTTTTACACGCGCATGAAATGACCCCCGCGCGCGGTGGGTTATGATGCAGGAGGAGGTCGCAGCGCGGCGCAGCCGCAGCGCAGACGCTTCCGGTGGGATCAGGGGGTCAGCCTCGCGGAGTCTGTCTACTGTCTATATATTAGCTGTACACTTTACGAATATAATAGTTTTTTATGGACAACTTTACCATTCAATCTCGTCCAACTGATCTTGCAGCTGTCACTCCTCGGCTCTTGGTAGTTCAGGCATTTATCAAACCTGGCAACTCCGGGCTTCCTTGCAGCTGTCAATCAAAGTCCAGTGGCTCCGCCCCAAAGTGTCAGAAACTTTTCACGCGCGTAGACAGACTCCGCGAGGCTGACCCCCTGATCCCACCGGAAGCGTCTGCGCTGCGGCTGCGCCGCGCTGCGACCTCCTCCTGCGTCATAACCCACCAGGCGCGTTTCAAAACGTTGCTGAAGCGGAGCGTCGTGTGTGCAGCCTCGCAGTTGTTGGATGAACGTTCCACTTCCTGCCTGCGCCACGCTGCGCCGCGTCAAAAATAGGATTCATCCTATATTTTAGAAATTCCTTGCGGCGAGGAGCTTCTGGGACGCTTCGAACCGCGGCGCGGCGCAGCGGATCTGATGGAATAGCACCCATTGACTAGAGTGGCCGCGATCGCTAAAAACGCTGCAGCCGCAACGCAGCGCAGACGCTCCTGGTGGGATTAGGGGGTGACACTCCCGCGAGCGAGCAAGAGGGCTGTCTCTCTCGCGAGCGAGCGCATAGCCGCTCGCGGGGGTTTCATCTGTGCGCGAGGGTCATTTTATGCGCGTGGAAAAGCACATTTTCCGCTCGTGAGTAGCTTGTTTTACGCGCTAGAATATTGACCCAAATCTGACTCCATACCTGTGTATTTTCAAATTCTAGCACACTCGAGCTGGTTTCTCCAAAATTACCTACCCCACCTTTAAGACCAGAGGCCAGTTATAGTTAGGGTTGCCAACCGTCCCGTATTAGCCGGGACGCCCCGTATTTGAGCCAAAAGGGGCGTGTCCCGTACGGGACTTTGTTTGTCCCGGACTCCCGTGTAAAGGGAAAAAATATATATATTTTTCTGTTTGCGCAATTCAGTGTGTGTGTGTGTTTGAAAATTGGTTGAAAATTGAGCAAGCTATGGTTATTTAAATAGTAAACCATAATGTTATGAATGAGAGCACTACCTGTAGCAAGATGGCGGCCACCCGCGCGGGGTGAGTCATCTAGTGTTTATATATATCTATGGTGCTCTCATTCATAACATTATGGTTTACTATTTAAATAACCATAGCTTGCTCAATTTTCAAACGGTTTGGTTTTTTATAAACATCAAAGATGTAGTTATGATACTGTATACTTATAGTCATGCACTTTCTTATGAAAATAACATTAAGCAGATAAAGCAATAGCTATACACACACACAAGGTATTTATATTAAATATTTGCCGGTGTATATATTTCCATTTATTTTTATTATATTGTTAATATTTAAAATAAATTATAAAATTAAAATATATTTATATTTTATATATAAAAATTGGTCTCATGTTACCACTCTGTAAGCCAAGAGTTGTTAATTTAGCAATGCCTTAGCTTGAAGAATAGGGACACAACTAATGACAATAACATATGGTGGTATATTATTTAGATATTCACACCTTTATCAGAAGAACCAAACCAACATAAAATGAGCTCACAGACAGGCCAGTTCTGTCTCATTTATCACAATTATACGAATATATAAATAATAGTAATATGGAAATTAATAAGTTACTTTTTTAACAATTCAATGTTCACTTATCAATACTGTGAGCCTGATTTTTTGTACATTCTCCAACAGAAAACACAACTCAGCGTACTTTTAAGAAATTGATCTTAATAGGCTTTTCCCCTTATAAGGCAAACATATGTTTTGAGGCTCTGGACAAAAATGGCTATTTTGATTGTAAAGGTTGCCAATCCCTGGGTGTAGTTTCAATGTTTGCACATGTTTATTCAAGTGTATGAGTGACATAGAGCAATGGCCAGTGGTTCTCAAACCTTTTACACAGAGTACCACCTCAAATTATATTGGGCTCTCCTAGTAACACCATCATAGACCTTCCTGGGTACCACCGAGATAAAGGATTTAATATGACAAGCCATATGATGCTCTCATTTGTTAGTGACATTCCACATGCAAATAAAACAAGATAAGATGGTACTTTATTGATCCCAATTTGGGAAAACATTTTTAGTTACAGCAGCATAAGGGACAAAGCATTTTACAATGAATTAGAAATAAGCAAGAAAAATAAAGAAAATAAAGAAAGAGGAAAATATACATGTTGAGTTTGGCAGGATATTATATATATATAATATACATAAAAATAAGGCATATGGAATATTAATGTTAAATATTAAATAGATTATGTGTAAAATGTACAACGTGGTTATATTCAAGAGAAACTATGGAGCAGAGAGTTATCTTCCAGCCAGAGGTGATTTGTTGAGTTATGGCACTGCGGAGCTGCAGCAGTCTGTTGGAGAAGGAGCTCCGTTGACTGTCCAGCTGCAGGTGGAGAGGATGGGTGGGGTTATCCATGATGGACAACAGCCTGTTCAGTGTCCTCCTCTCCACCACAGCTTCAAAGGAGTCCAGCTTGATGCCGATGACAGACCCAGCTTTCCTAATCAGTTTATTGATCCTGCTGGTGTCACCGGCTCTGATGCTGCCCCCCCAGCAGACCGGAGCAAAGAAGAGTGCACTGGCCACAACAGACCGGTAGAAGATCTCCAGCATCTTGCTGCACACGTGGAAGTATCTCAGCTTCCTCAGAAAATAGAGTCTGCTCATCCCCTTCTTGTGCACAGCATCAGTGTTGATCCTCCAGTTTAGTCCGTTGTCTAAGTGCACTCTGTTAGAGATTTGGAGGGATAACTGGTCCGCTTTTCAAATCTCCGCGTGTTCCTATGAAGCTGGTTATAATACAGGAAGGAATCCATATCTACAAAGTAACCGTTAACAATAATCTACTTTAATGGCAATATGACAATGCAATACAATCATTACAATACAACATGATATATTACAGTTATATTGTAATGCTTAAGGAGTAATGCCGGCTTACTCCTGCACTGGTTCGCATACTGCAGAGCTACTTTCACCCGAGGGCAGCATGTGAAGAAGAGGCCGAACGCCAGGGATCCACCGGATATATACCAGAGTAAGAAGGAGGGGTTTGGTGTTAGGTCAGCTGGTCATCTTTTCAGGTCATCTCATTGGGAGACGCAACGCAGCAGGAAACGCAGCAGGAAACCAAACAGGCTCACTTTCCAACAAAAGGTCTCAAGGCCTGCATACCTACACCTCCCCCACAGAGCCATAAAACCCTGTTTACTCCAACCAGCCCAGAATGTTTATAGCCATTTGTAGTCCTTACATTTATGAAAGGATAAAACAGAGAAATCAATATAAAACACAAAC